TTCATATGGAAATGTAAAGGACCTAGAATAGCCAAAACAACTCTGAAAAAGAAACTTTATTGAGGTATAATTTACATTCCTTATTTAAATTTTATAGTTCAATGACCTTTTTTTAAAACAGAAGTTTATTCTTAAATGTACAACAGGCTCCAAGACAACACTTCATTATAGCTATAGGTGGCAACAGATGTTAGGGCAGGGAATCCAGATGTTTAAACAGGAATGGAGTTAAGGATCACCTCAACGACCTTTATTAAATTTACCTAATTGTGCAACGATCACCACAATTAAGTTCTAGAACATTTATATCACCCCAGTAAGATCCCTTGTACTAATCTACAGTTAATGATTGTTCCCATTCTCACCCCCAGACAACACTAATCTATGGATCTCTATAGATTTGACTTTTCTGGACATTTCATATAAATACAGTATACAAATACAATATTAGATTTTTTGTGTCTCACTTCTTTCATTTAGCAATATACCACATTTTGTTTATCTATTTACCAGTTGATGGACATTTCGATTGTCTTTACTTTTTGCTTCATATGAATCATGCTGTTATGAATATTCAAGTGCAAGTGTTTGTATGAACATGTTACATATCTTTTGGGTAGATAATAGGAGTGGCATTGCTGGGTCCTATGGTAAATTGATTAATTACCTTTTAAGAAACTGCCAAGCTTTTCCAAATTGGCTATACCATTTTAATGCATTCACACCAGACATGTATGAAAGTTCCTGATTCTCCACATCCTTGCCAACATTTGTTATAATTGTCTTTTTTATTATAGCCATTTTAGTGCATGTAAAGTGGTACTTCACTGTGGTTTTAATTAGAATTTCTCTAAGGACTAATGATGTTGGGCATGTCTTCACGTGCTTATTTGTATACCTTCTTTGGTGAAATGTCTCTTCAGATCTTCTGCCCATTTTTATACTGGGTTGTGCGTCTTGTTTTCATTGAGTTGTAAGAGTTCTTTATACATTCTGGATACAAGTCCTTTATCAGATACATGATTTGCAAATGTTTTCTCCCAGTCTGTGTTTTGTTTTTTTTTGCTCTTAATGGTGTCTTTTGAAGCACAAACTTTTTGGTTTTGATTAAGTCCAATTTATCGTGTTTTTCTTTATGGATCATGCTCTTAGTGTCCTAAGAGTTCCTTGCCTCATACAAAGGCACAGAGATTTTCTCCTATGTTTTATGCTATAACTTTTATGATTTCAGCTTTTATATTTATGTCTCTGATCCATTTTGAGTTAATTTTTATTATGGTGTGAAGACTTAAATTCATCTTTTTGCATGTGGATATCCAATTATCCCTGCACCAAATGTTGAAAAGACTTCTTTCCCCATTGAATTGCATTCACACTTTTGTAAAAAAAATACATTTACCATGAGTATGAAGGTTTATTTATTATTTATTTTTTTTGGTGAGGAAGATCGGCCCTGAGCTAACATCTGTTGCCAATCTTCCTCTTTTTGCTTGAGGAAGATTGGCCCTGAGCTAATATCTTTGCCAATCTTCCCCTATTTTCTGTGGGTCACTGCCACAGCATGGCTTGATGAGTGGTGTAGGTCTGTGCCCAGGATCTGAATCTGCAAACCCGGGCTGCCAAAGCGGAGCACACCTAACCCAACCACTATGCCGCCGGGCCAGCCCAAAGGGGGCTTATTCTTGGACTGTCTATTCTGTTCCATTGATCTACGTCTCTATTCCCATGCCAGTACCATATGTCTTGATTATTGTAGTTTTATAATAATTTTGAAATTGGGAGGTGAATGTCCTCCCACTTTATTCTTCTTTGGCAAATTCCTTCTTGCTCTTCTTTTTTTTTTTATAATTTTATTTATTTATTTATTTTTCCCCCCAAAGCCCCAGTAGATAGTTGTATGTCATAGCTGCACATCCTTCTAGTTGCTGTATGTGGGACGTGGCCTCAGCATGGCCGGAGAAGCAGTGCGTCGCTGCGCACCCGGGATCTGAACCCAGGCCGCCAGCAGCAGAGCACATGCACTTAACCACTAAGCCACGGGGCCGGCCCCCTTCTTGCTATTCTTGGTCTTTTCTATTTCTATATAAATTTTAAGATTAGCCTATCGATTTCTGGAGAAAAAAGCCTGCCGGAAAGTTGTATTGAATTTGTAGATCATGTGATTTTTCTTCTTTAGCCTGTTAATATGGTAGATTACATTGACTGATTTTTTTTCCCCCCAAAGCCCCAGTAGATAGTTGTATGTCATAACTGCACATCCTTCTAGTTGCTGTATGTGGGACGCGGCTGAGGCTGGAGAAGCAGTGCGTCGGTGCACGCCCGGGATCCGAACCCGGGCCGCCAGCAGTGGAGCGCGTGCACTTGACCGCTAAGCCACGGGGCCGGCCCTACATTGATGGAGTTTTGAATGTTGAAGCAGCCTTGCATGACTGGAATAAACCCCACTTAGTCATAATGTATAATCTTTTTATATGTTGCTTGATTGAATTTGCTAATATTTTGTTGAAGATTTATATATCTATATTCATGAGGAATATTGGGCCTGTAGTTTTCTTTTCTTGTGATGTGTTTGTATGCCTTAAATATCAGAGTCAGACTGGCCTTATAGAGTTGAGGAATGTTCCTTCCTCCTCTATTTTATGAAAGATTTTGTGGAGTATTGATATTATTTTGCCTGTAACTGTTTAATGCAATTAACCAGTTAAACTATCTGGCTTTGGGCTTTTTTTGTGTGGGAAGATTTAAACTTACTAATTGCTTACTATTGCTGGTAGGATGTAAAATGGTGTAGCCATGTGAGGACCACGCCTGGGTCTCAGATTTCAGATATCAGTCAACTGTCTCGGGGAGATACTACAGTGGGATTGGAGGGCAAGGAAATAAAAATTAAAACCACACTGAGATATCACTATACACCAACCATAATGGCTAAAATAAAAAAGATGGAGGGCCAGCCCCATGGCTTAAGTGGTTAAGTGCGCACGCTCCACTACTGGCAGCCCAGGTTCGGATCCCGGGCGCGCACCAACGCACCGCTTCTCCAGCCATGCTGAGGCCACGTCCCACATACAGCAACTAGAAGGATGTGCAACTATGACATACAACTACCTACTGGGGCTTTGGGGAAAAAGAAAGGAGGAGGATTGGCAATAGATGTTAGCTCAGGGCCGGTCTTCCTCAGCAAAAGGAGGAGGATTAGCATGGATGTTAGCTCAGGGCTGATCTTCTTCACACACACAAAAAAGATGGAAAATACCAAGTATTGACGAGGATGTGGAGCAACTAGAACTCATATACTGTGCTGGTGGGAGTATATATTGGTACAGCCACTTTGGAAAACTAGTATTATAAACTAAAGCTGAGCATATGGTTACCCTATGACCTGGCAGTTCAACTCCTACATATATACCTAACAGAAATTCATAAATATGTTCACCAATACATAGGTACAAAAATATTTATAGCAGCACTATTCGTAATAGCTCCAAGCTACAAACAACCTACATGTCCATCAACAGTAGAATGGATAAATATATTGTAGCATATTTACACAATGGAATATAACATGACAATGAGAATGAACTATGTACAACTACATTCAACAATATGGATGAACTGCACATTCATAATGTGAATGAAAGAAGATAGACGCTAAAGAGTATATTACTAAAATATGAAATACAATTGTTTGACTCAATTTATATAAAATACCAAACGGATAACACTAACCTATGCTGTTAGAAGTCAGGATAGTGTTTACCCTTGTGGGGTGGGAGGATGGTAAGGCCTGGAAAGGAACACAGGGAGTGCTTCTGGGGGGCTGGTCATGTTCTGTTTCTTGATCTGAGTATGTTCAGTTTATGAGAATCCATTGAACTCTATGCTTATGATATATGCATTTTCTGTATGCATTATACTTTAATAAAAAGGTTTAAAAATAAAATAAATTTGCATGCTACAAAGAAAGCCCCTTTTCTTATGACTATTGTAAAAAACACTTAAGGGAAAATGAGAAAGTTTCTATATATCAGTGTTTAAAAAAAAGAAGTGCTCTTTCTAGAGAAGTCTTTCAGTTATTCACCTATAATAAACTATAACCATATCTTAGACTAACCAACTACAATACAACATGATTTTATCTCATAGAATTCTACACAAAACATGTGCATGCAGAAAATGAATATATCTTAACCAAATGGGAAGAAAAACAAAATCAAAATTTTATGTATTGAAACCCAATTTCTCAACCATTCTTTTTCAAACAGGAATCCCAAAGAAAGCAGAGGCTTCGGTGGACGAGAATGAAAGTCCAGAGTGCTGTGGCTCAGTTCCCTTGACCTAGAGTCAGTTACTAAGGGGATAAGAAGTCTATGGTCTGCAGCTTACATAAATAAATGATAGCTTTTCGGGTACAGGTTAGAAGGCATGCATACCTTTTTTCAGGCGTGTATCACCTGCTGCCACAGCATGGACTTAATGAGGGAACAACTGCCACCTTTAGATGTCTGTAACATTTAATAACTGTATTCCTGTAACATAGGCTAGAGTTATGCCTAATTGGCCAATGCATAAACTCAGACTTTAAGTTTAAAAATTATATTTCATTTAAAAAAATATACCATGGCGACTTCTCAGAGGGAAGAGAAAGAACAGTTTCTTATGGCAATCTTTTCTGTGTCTTAAACGTCAATGGTCACACAAACTTCTGGCTTCTACTCACAGATCTGAATTCCCAAATAGGTTTTTGCCTTGACTTCAGTGCCCTACAGGTATTTGGATAATGAGAACTCTTCTCCCCACCCTAGAAATTTGAAAAACTTTTGCCAATATTGAGTACTTTTACATCCCAGGGTATGAAGAACTAATCAGTGCTGAATTTATAAAGTCCTTTATCCAAAAAGTAAAACATAGGAGATTACAAGTCTTCTCCTGGGGTCTCTATTTCTGCCATTCGTAGGAGCTTGAGAGTCCCTGTATGAATCATGAAACCAAAGAGGACTATTGCTCAAATGCTTTATCGAAGCATCTTCCTACACATACACTTGCAAATCAACTGTGGTGATGCGGGTACTTGTATTTCCAATTGATTGAGGGTACTTGGCACTGTTTGCCTTCTGTTCACTTAAGCTGTAGTCTGTCATATCTACTTCCCCCTGCGCAATGATTGCAGCATCAGGCACTCCTCTTCCCCACTATGAGACATCTGATGCAGACCTGGTTGTGATTTCCAGCCAAAGGCTTTTTTAGTCACTGGCTTTATAGAGTTTTTCTCCACTATGAGTTTTCTGATGTTTAATGAGATTTGACCTGTCATTGAAGGCCTTCTGACATTCTGTACAAGCATAGGGTTTCCTTCCTGTGTGAATTATTTGATGCATACTTAGTGTTGCTTTCTGGATGAAAGCTTTCCCACATTTACCGCATTCATAGTGTCTCTCTCCAGTATGAGATTTTTGATGGATAGTGAGGCGTGACTTCCAAGTAAAGGTTTTTCCACAGTCACTGCATTTATAGGGTTTCTCTCTAGTATGGATTTTCTGATGTGTTATGAGATTTGACCTGTCAGTGAATGCCTTTCCACATTCAGCACATATATTGGGTTTCTCTCCTGTGTGAATTTTCTGATGCACACGGAGTTGTGACTTCTTAGTGAAACATTTCCCACAATCACTGCATTCATAAGGCTTCTCTCCAGTATGGATTCTATGATGCGCAATGAAGTGTGATTTCTGGATGAAGGCCTTTCCACATTCAGGACAAACATAGGGTTTCTCTCCTGTATGGATTCTCTGATGTACACTTAGTGTTGATTTCTGGATAAAGGCTTTCCCACATTCATTGCATTCATAGTGTCTCTCTCCAATATGAGATTTCTGATGTATTTTGAGGCGTGACTTCCATATGAAGGCTTTTCCACAGCCATTGCATTTATAGGGTTTCTCTCCAGAATGAGTTTTCTGGTGTTTAATGAGATTTGACTGATCACTGAAAGCCTTCCCACATTCAGCACACATATAGGGTTTTTCTCCAGTATGAGTTTTCTGATGTGTAGTGAGATTTGTCCTATGAGTGAAGACCTTTCCACATTCTGTACATATATAGGGTTTTTCTCCTGTGTGAATTCTTTGATGCACATGGAGTTGTGACTTCTTAGTGAATGATTTCCCACAGTCACTGCAGTCATAAGGTTTTTCTCCAGTATGAATTCTCTGATGTGTATTGAAATGTGATTTCTGGATGAAGGCCTTCCCACATTCAGTGCATACATAGGGTTTCTCTCCTGTGTGAATTCTCTGATGCATCCTGAGTGCTGATTTTCTTGTGAAGGCTTTCCCACATTCACTGCATGCATAGTGTTTCTCTCCAGTATGAGTTTTCTGATGTATATTGAGGTCTGAATTCTGGGAGAAGCCTCTTCCACATTCACTACATTCATAAGGTTTTTCTCCTGTATGAATTCTCATATGTCTAAAGAGATATGATCTGTGGAAAAAAGCTTTTCCACATTCACTGCATTTATAGGGTTTCTGCCCAGTATGAATTTTCTGATGTGTAATGAGGTTTGACTTGAGAGTAAAGGTCTTCCCACATTGAGTACATATATAGGGTTTCTCTTTCTCTCCTGTATAAACACTCTGAGCTACATCAGTTGGTGGCTTCTGAGTGAAGACTTTCTCACTTTCAATGCATTCATGGGATTTTTTTCTAGCATGAAGTCTCTGGTGCTCAAAGAGATGTGACTTCTGGGTGAAGCTCTTCACACATTCTGTACATACATAAAGTTTCTCCCCAGTATGAATTTTCTGATGGTGGATGAGAACTTGTTTGTGGCCAAGGTGTTTCTCACATTGATTATGTTCACAGGAATTTGCTTCTGTATTAGCATTCTCATTCTTAGTAGAGGAAGAGCTACAGGCAAAATTGTTACCATTTCCAAAAATCTTACCAAGGTTCTTTGTTGCACTACTTTTATTATAATTATGTAAGTTTAAAGTATGCTTCAAGCTCTTTCCAAATGTGTCATAGTTATGGAGTCTTTTAATTGAAGGAACAAGCTTGGTACTGACATGAATTATTTTTTCAATGTTTTTACATTCAAAGCCCCTCTTCTTAATCAATACTTTCATATCACTTAAAGGGTTATTTTGGTTTTCTTTATATCTCTCTAGCTGGTCATTATCTTGCCAAAATTCTTCTAAAATAGAACACAATGAATCTTCTCCTGTGGATTGTTCAAATTTCTCACAGTGGAATGAAACTTCTCCAGAAATTCTCTGTTGTTGGGTTTGCCCCATATCTTCATCTAAAAAGAAAATGAAAAAAAGAAAAATGACTGAAAGAACAAGTATCAGAGGATAGAGGGTACGTGTAGTTCAGACAGGATGAACACTGAGAAATGGACAAGCCATATGACAATAATGAAAATAGTAACACAAAATTCTTCTAGAACACTTACTACATGCAAAACAATTATATACCATTTATGAGGCACCAGGTACTGTTCCAAGTGCTTTACACAAAATAGATCATTTAATCCTCACAAAACCCTAAGAGGTAGCTATCATTATCAATTGTGTTTTATGGATGAGAAAACAGAAGCATAGAGAAGTTATGTAACTTATTGAAGATCAAATAGTTAAAAAAGTGAGAGAGATGGGATTTGAACCCTGGGAATCCATATCCACTATGTAGGAGGTCTGGATAGTGAGTAGAGTAACCACAAGAAGAAACCGAAGTCTGTTAAGGGGAAGCCTGGCATGAAGAAATATTTCAGATTGTATGTCCTTATTACACATCAACTCTAAAACCTTACTAATCTCTCTGCTTCCTCTTGCTTTTCCCCCTGAACCATTATGAGAATCAATATTAAATTTATGTGCCTCAAACTCCAATTCCTCTATATCTATAGGAAAAACTGTTGCAACACCAGCCATCCTGACACAGACAAACAGTAAATAGCTATCTGTGCTCCATCTCTATAGCAAGTTTTCCTTGGTCCCAGGAATATATGCTTTCAACAGTGTCAAATAGGAAAGGAAAGGCCATCTATTGCAGAAACTGCAAGCCATCCACCAAAATCTACTCACCTCTTCTTTTATAGTAATAGAATGTAGCTGGGCATTACATTTACCAGCCTCACTTTGTTCCCACCAGTGGAGTATGAGCACAAGTGATATGTGCCACTTCCAGGCCAGGCCTTAAGACAGTGGGCGAATCTCCTCTATTCCCCCTTCCCCCTATCCAGTGGACTGAACAATGTCCCAATGTCAACCACACAGCTGACAACAGTACCCTAGGAGGTGGCAGAGCAATGACTTGGAACAAAGTCCTTGAATGACCCGTCAGGATCAGAGGTGACTTGTTGAATGGCCCCATTCACCTCAGAATCTTATGTAAGAGAGGATATACACGTATACTAAACTTGTTGTTTTGCTCCTCTGTGCATATTCAAAATGTATTGTCCTTGAGAACAGCTCCAATTTCAGTGTACCTCTAGGGAGATTAGTTCTGCTATGAATTTATAAAGCTGGCATGGTACCACTCATATTAATATTCAATTTGGCACAGTTTTGCATTAGAAAGAATTAATACACAAAGGCTGAAATTGTTAACATTTCATGCAGTTGTCTTCGTCTTCCAAATATAATCTATGGTCCTTTGAATTCTGCTGAGCAAACACTTGCAAACTCCTTGTGAAAGACAGCAAAATCCCCTCCTCTGCCTATCTCTCCAAATTCAATAAATTTAAGTTTACTAAATATTTTCCATGCTTTGCTTCAGAAAACTGAAAAATAAATGTCTGAGTTATTAATTTCTTGCTTCTCAGCTGCAAATTCACTCTTCCTTGCCTACTCTTCAAAAATGGATCCGAGTCTCTCTTTTTTTTTTTTGTGAGAAGGACCAGCCCTGAGCTAACATCCAACGCCAATCGTCCTCTTTTTTGCTGAGGAAGACTGGCCCTGGGCTAACATCCGTGCCCATCTTCCTCCACTTTATATGGGACGCCGCCACAGCATGGCTTAACAAGCGGTGAGTCAGTGCGCGCCCGGGATCCGAACCAGTGAACCCCGGGCCACCGCGGCTCCGCACTTAACTGCTTGCACCACTGGGCCGGCCCCCCGAGTTTCTTTACATATGTTTTTTTCCTTTGCCATCTGGTGATGTTAAGCCTTGTCGGTCTAGGGCAATGGAGAAACACTGCAGAAGGAAGGGGTTTTGCTTCCTAGCTGTAGTGGGCTCACTCAGCAGGCTCCTCCAGCAAGGACAGCTTGTCTAGCACCAGGATCCTGCAGTGCAGGTGGCTTCACAAACATCTGGCTCCTGATGCACCTCCTGAAGCTCCACATGCAGCTTCCCAGGCACCCAGGTCTTGCAGTGTGGATGACTTCTCTAGACCTCAGCTCCTGCAGTGCGGGTGGCTTCCCAGGCACCCAGCTTCTGCAGCACTAGTAGCTTCTCCAGCTCCAGGCTCCTGCAGTGCATTACAGCCAGCAGTACCTAGTACCCAGAAGTTTCCCTTGGCACCCCTCTCAGGTGATTTGTAGTGGAATACCTCCAGTGAGACACTTCCCTATGATCAGCTTTCTCTGGAACCCCAGAGTGTAGAGTTCCAGCAAGTTCTACCAAAGTGGCACCACAGCAACTCTTCTGCAATGCTGTGAGCCATGGCTGTGCCCTCCCAACAAGGTCTTGATTCATCCCTGGGAAGCAGGAGAGGTTCTTCCTTGCATGCTCCATCACAGCCCTAGAGGTACTGGCTGTTCCTTTAATCTGCTATTCCTTTATTCTTTAGAGTCCTCTTTGCTATTACTAGCTAATCTCTTATCACTTCAATCTCACTATAGATAATAATTCTTTATGTTAAACTTTCCCTGTTCAAATTAGTATGTGGTTTCTTTCTCCTGATCAGATCCCAAGTTATATAATAAGAAACAGGCTCTTAATTCTGGGAACTTTCTAAAATCATAGAGGTAAATGCCTCAGGTACCACACAGTCTAAAATCCTGTGCTTTTCTCTGAGTTCCCGTGGGATAGAGGATGAGAAAAAGGAAAAGAGTCCTATATGCTGGAGTAATTAAGAGCCATTTCATGGAACAGTGAAATCTGATCACAAAGTGAAAATGTATCATCTGAATAGACAGAGCACAGAATAAAGAGTCAGATTCAGGGAACACTATCAAATATGGTAGACATCAAGAAAATGTTAAAAATGCATAGCAAAAGAAACAATCGACAAAATGAAAAAGCAACCTACTGAATGAGAGAAGATATTTGCAAATCATATATCTGATAAGGAGTTAATATCCAAAATATATAAATAAATTATACAACTCAGTAGTAAAAAAACCAAACCAAATGAAAAACGGACAGAGGACTTGAACAGTTTTCCAAAGAAGACATATAGATGGTCAACAGGTACATGAAAAGGTTCTGGACATCACGAATCATCAGGGAAATGCAAACCAAAACCACAATGAGACATTACCTTACCTCTGTTAGAATGGCCATCATCCAAAAGACAAGAGATAGAAAGCGTTGGTGAGGATGTGGAGAAAAGGGAACCCTTGTGCACTGTTGGTGGGAATGCAAATTGGTGCAGCCGCTATGGAAAACAGTATGGAGATTCCTCAAAAAATTAAAACTAGAACTACCATATGATCCAGCTATCCCACTTCTGGGTATTTATCCAAAGGAATGGAAAACAGGATCTTGTAGAGATATCTGCACTCATATGTTCATTGCAGCATTACTCACAATAGCCAAGACATGGAAACAACCTAAGTGTCTGTTAACGTTAAATAGATAAAGAAGATGTGGTGTGTGTGTGTGTATATATATATATATATATATATATACACACACAATGGAATATTATTCAGCCATTAGAAAGAAGGACATCATGTCACAACTTGGCTGATCTTTGAGGGCATTATGCTAAGTGAAATAAGTCAGAGAAAGATACTGTATGGTATTATCACTTGTATGTGGAATCTAAAAAAGTCAAACTTGGAGAAACAGAGAGTAGAGTGGTGGTTACCAGGGTTGGAAGTGGAGGAAATGGGAAGATATTGGTCAAAGGAGGGTACAAACTTTCAGTTATAAGATGAACAAGTTCTGGGGATCTAAGGTACAGCATGGTGATTCTAGTTAATGATACCGTATACCACTAAAAGTGTAGATCTTAAATGTTTTCACCACAAAAAAGAAATGGTGACTATGTGATGGGATGGAGGTGGTAGCTAATGCTATGGTGGTAGTCATTTTGCAATATATAAATGTATCAAATCAACAGGTGGTACACCTTAAAATTACACAATGTTGTATGTCAATTATATCTCAATACAGCTGGGAAAAATAGCATAAAATATGGTATACTTAGGGATAAATCTGACAAAAGATGCACAAGACCTGTATACTGAAAGGTAGAAAGCAGTGTTGAGAGAAATTAAAGAAGACCTAAATGAATGGAGGTAAATAACTTATTCATGAATTGGACGACTCAAAAATGTTAAGATGTCAATTCTCTCCAAACTGATCTATAGATTCAGTGTAATCCCAACCAAAATTCACTTCTGTAGAAACTGAAAAACTGATTCTAAAATTCTTATGGATACACAAAGGACTTAGAATAGCCAAAATAATTTGAAAGAGAAAAATAAAGTTGGAGGACTAACACTACATGATTTCAAATTTACTACATAGATACACTAATTAAGACAGTGTAAGGGCCGGCCCCATGGCTTAGCGGTTAAGTGCGTGTGCTCCGCTGCTGGTGGCCCAGGCCAGGATCCCGGGTGCACACCAACGCACCGCTTCTCCGGCCATACTGAGGCCGCATCCCACATACAGCAACTAGAAGGATGTGCAGCTATGACATGCAACTATCTACTGGGGCTTTGGGGGAAAAAATAAATAAATAAATAAAATTATTAAAAAAAAAAAAAAGACAGTGTGAGAATGGTGTAAAGATGGATGAATAGATCAATGGAACAGAATGAAGAGTCCAGAAAGAGACTCACACATGTGACAACTGATTCTCAATAAAGGTTCAAAAGCAATTCAGTTGAGAAAGGATAGTTTGTGTGTGTGTGCGCACATGTGTGTGTGTGTGTGTGAGGAGATCAGCTCTGTGCTAACATCTGCCAATCCTCTTCTTTTTTTTTTTTCTGCTTAGGAAGACTGGCCCTGGGCTAACATCCGTGCCCATCTTCCTCCACTTTATATGGGACACTGCCACAGCATGGCTTCCCAAGCAGTGCGTTGGTGTGCGCCTGGGATCTGAACTGGCGAACCCTGGGCCACCACAGTGGAGCGCGCGCACCCAACCACTTGCGCCACCGGGAAGGATAGTTTTTAAAAATAAATGATGCTGGAATGATTGGAGAGTCATGTGCAAAAAAGATGAACTTTGATCCATACCTTAAATCACATACAAAAATTAATGCAAAAGGTATCACAGAACTAAATGTAAAACCTAAATATTTTGTGACCTTGGATTAGGTAAAGATTTCTTAGATGCAACACCAAAAGCACACTCCATAAAAGAAGAAAAAAGATAAATTAGACTTTGCCAAAATTTAAAACTTCTCATGAAAGACACCGATAAACAAAATAAAAAGAAAAAACTTGCAAAACACTTATCTGATAAATAATTTGTGCCTAGAATACATAAAGAACTTTCAAAACTCAACAATAAGAAAACAAAGTTCTCTGTAGAAAGCTGGGCAAAAGATTTGTACAAATACTCCACCAAAGAAGATATACAGATGTCAAATATTAAACATTATTTAAATGCTAATTAAAACAACAGTAAGATACCACTACCCAACTATTAGAATGGCTAAAAATTTTTTAAATGGACAATTCCAAGTGTTGGTGAGGATGTAGATCAATTAGAACTCTCATTCATAGATGGTTAGAATATAAAATGGTACAGCCACCTTGGAAAACAGTTTGGCAGTTTCTGACAAAGGTAAAGATATACTTAACATATAACCCAGCAATCTCATTCCTAGATAATTACCTTAGAGAAGTGAAATCTTATCATCACACTAAATCTGTAAATAGATGTTTATAGTGCCTTTATTCATAATCACCAAACTGGAAACCACCCAACTAGTGAATGGATAAACAAACTGTGGTAAATCCATACTATGGACTACTACTCAGCAATAAAAAAGAACAAACTATGGAAACACACAATAGTATGAATGAGTTTCAAATGCATTATGTAAAAGAAGCCAGGCTCAAAAAGCTTTGTACTGTATGATTCCATTTATATGACATTCTGGAAAAGGCAAAACTATAGAGACAGAAGAGAGATCAGTAGTTTCCACAGCTGGAAGTTGGAAGGAGAGACAAGCAAGGGGCTTGAGGTAATTTTTTGTTCTATATCTTTTTTTTTTTTTTAAACATTTTATTTATTTATTTTTTCCCCCCAAAGCCCCAGTAGATAGTTGTGTGTCATAGCTGCACATCCTTCTAGTTGCTGTATGTGGGACGCGGCCTCAGCATGGCCGGAGAAGCAGCGCGTCGGTGCGAGCCGGGGATCCGAACCCGGGTCGCCAACAGTGGAGCGCGCTCACTTAACCACCAAGCCACGGGGCCGGCCCTGTTCTATATCTTGATTGTGGTGACAGTTACATGACTACATGCATTTGTCAAAACTCATAGATTATTAACATAAATAAACCTCATGGAATCATAAAAATGTTAAAAATGGAGTTAGCAGAGGTTATAGAAAAAATATAGATACAAGTTTGAGTTGGAAATATGTGGCCATGTTGTTTATCTCCTTGAAAGAAGAGTTTAATTGCCACATACTAGGTAGTGGGGAGTAATTGTAGGTTTATTTCATAAAGCTCATGGCAAGATAAATGGAATGTTTTAGGTAATGAAATCTGTCATTAGCATTTAAAGTGAAATAATAAAAAGAATGGAATCAGCAAATCTAATCAGGAATAGAATAATAACAATCCAGGCATAAAACAATATGGAGCTGGTTTTGGGTGATATTACTAGGAACTGAGAAGATGAACTCAGAACTGAAAATTTTATTTGCAAAAATGGAAAAGCAGTAGGAACTGTAGAGTGATTAATAAAAAATGACTAAAAGATTTAAGAAACACTGACAGAACGTGACAAAATTTGGAAGGTGAGAAGGGTTTCTGATATGTGAGGTGATGATTCCAATTTCGGATGTATAGTCATGCACCATAAAACAACGTTATGGTCGATGACGGGCTGCATATACGACAGTGGTCCCATAAAACTAGTACCATATCGCCTAGGTGTGCAGTAAGCTATACCATCTAGGTTTGTGTAAGTACTGTAGAGGAGGAAGAAATTTTTCTCTACCCTTCTAGATTCTTCTGGCTGGTCTAAGAGTTAAACTGACAGGAGACAGATTAATAGGAGAAAAAGAAACAAAAGTTTCTCACATGGAGAAACCCAGGAAAACTGAGTAACTTGCTAAAGTGGCTGAGGCTCTCACTTTAAATACCATCCTCAGCTAAAGACAAAAAGAAGATGTTGGGGGTGGGGAGAGTCAGAGACTTCAAATAGAAGGAAGGCAATTCACAGGTAGATGAAAAGGAGCAAACATTTGGAAAACAAGTGTTTGGCTACACAGAAACAGAAGAACACAGAGGGGAACCCAACAAGCAGGCTTTTCTAGGTTCCTCCCTATCTACCACCTACTTCATGTTAAGCTAAGGTGATAGCTCACTTCCTAAGAGAGGTGTTTTTAATCTGAATTCTTTATGCAGTTAAGGGAGAGGTAACAACAAAAACTTTCTGAGTCTTTTGTTTCTTAAAAATAATCAGCCTAAAATAATCATCTGTTAAAGAGACACATTTTGAGGTGGCAAATTTTGTTCCCCTTTAGTATACTTTATGATGTTTCCACAACGAGGAAATTGTCTAACAACACATTTCCAAGAATATATCCTCATTGTTAAGCGACGCATGACTGTATTGAGGATCAAGAGAAACATCTCACGGGAACTTTTTGGGTAGCTAAATTTAGTACTAAAGTGCCAGTGAAAAACAGACAATGGAGATGTCAAAAGCAGAGCCATCAGAATTTCAGTATGGATGAATCCTTGCATGTGTATGAAGACAAGACTGGTGAACAGTAGACAGGGTCCCTAGGGCAACCTAATTTATAGGGATAATGAGGAGGAAAAGGCTGAAAAAAGGGCAAAGAATAAACTGAATGCAAATCTGTAAGAAACAGACAGGAAACTCAATGAAACAATGGGAACATGAACAAGGTCACTCATAGGAGGGACACTTAAAGAGACCACAACAGGTCAGTAATGAAATGCTCAAACTAGGTATTGGAGAAATGCAAAATAAAAATGAGATCCCACTTTAAACTCATTGTTGGCCAAAAAATGAGAAACTTTGGTACTACTAATTGTTGGCAGAAACTCTAGGAAAACTAGAACCCTTGTGCACTATTGCTAGGAGTATAGATTACTGCAGCCAATCTGAGAATAATATGGTGGCGCTCAGTCAAATTCAGAATAAGAATATGCAATGATCTGGCAAACCTTGTCTTCTACATACATCCCTGAGAAATTCTCATACTCCATAAGGGAACATTTATGTAGAAATTTATCATAGAGTTGTTTGTATCAGCTGGGAGTTAGCGACAACCCTAGGTTCCACCACTGGGTGAATGGTTAAGTAAGTTGTGGTGCTGGCACACTGTGGAATACAGTGCAGCAATTTGAAGGAATGAAGCCAGATGAACACACCACAATATGGACAGACTTTAGGGATGTGTGAAAAAAAGGAACAGAATTAAGACACGTAGCATAATATAATTTATATATGTTAAAATTACATACTCATAGACCAATACTTCAGGCTTTAAGAGAATACCACACAAATTCAAAGGTCAAACACATTAGATCAGTTGCCCATGGGACTGGATATGGAGAATGAATAAAAATGGAATAAAGAATGGATATGGGGAATGGAATAAAAGGAAATAAATTTTTAAATACCTGAATATACAAGGAATCTAAGATAAGGGGTGTGGGAGAGGAGTAGGAAGAATAAAAAGGTTCTAGATAAGACAGGGTGGTATGTATGTGATTCAGTGTACACAGATTAGAGAAAACTGTCTTGCCAAAAAGCCAAGCAAAGAAGATAACAGATGTGGCAATGGTCATATTTGGAGATGGCATTTAGTATCTGAGGGGCTTCTGTCAACTTTCTGCCATTAACTCCAGAAGTTTAGAACCTTCAAGACAGGTTATCTTCAGAGCCTTTCAAAGGTATCAGCCTCTCCTAGAAAAAGTGAGATTTACTTCCATGTCCCCCATCTTCCCGGGTCACACTCACTCACCTGAACAGCTCTGGTGTGGGGTTTCCCCCTCTAACGTCCATGGCCACTCTCCTTGCTCCAACTTGAAGATGACCTCTGGTTTGGGAACTTGGTACCCTGTTAACAGGACATGATACAGGATTGGGTCCAGCTAATTGGGTTTCGGGGGCCTCTCAATGATACTTCCATTTGCTCTTCAGAAAAGTAATCACATTTCACCGGGGAATAGAGTAATAATAATAGTGCTGAAAAGGGAGTGAAGAATCTCAGACCAATCAAGGATGACACCATCACACACTTAAGATGTCCCAGAGCACTCAGCAGCTGGGAATGGAAATAGCCTCACTGAGGCCCCTGGCGGACGCATAGGGCGGCTGTGCTCACCCACTGAGCGCAAGTGGCTGTAGTTTTCTAGTGTCACATCCCGGTACAGTCGTCTCTGAGCAGAGTCCAAGTGCTGCCACTCCTCTCTGCTGAAGTCCACAGTCACATCCTCAAATGACACTGAGACCTGTAACAACATAATCCTGTTCAAGGTGACATGGTCAGCACTGTGGGGTAGAGGAAAGATAAATAGGAAGTTGTTTTGAATGACTTTTACCATAGTGTATCATGTAGGATTTTCACTCAGTACCTAGCTTTGTATTTTATTTTGTGAGAGAAAAAAACTCATTGAAGTATCTTGACATCCATTGTGTACTACATTCATTTATTTATTCATTCATTCTTTTTTCAAAAATGGGGATTAAAATAGGCTCTCTTTAAGTTCTCTAGTTAATGTAGGAACTACATACAATACATTTACTGATTGATTATGTGCCAGGCAATGGCAATACAGAATTGAGTAAAATAAAAAACAACTTAAAGACTTGGACTCCCAACATAGGAAGACACAAAGGGGGCTAAAAGGCATTTGGAAGAACATATGGGGCAAAAGGCAAAACAATAAAGCTTTTAAAAGATAATATAAAAAAAAAGATAATATAGATGAATATCTTGATGATCTTGGGTTAGGAAAATAATTCTCAAATGGGATGCTAAAAATATTAACTATTAAGAAAAAGATGATCAGCCTGTCTACAATAAAGTTTAAAACTTCTATTCATTTCAAAGATAGCATTGTAAGAGAAAAAAAGGAAAGCCACAGAATAGGAGAAGATATCTGCAATACATATTATTGACAAAGGGCTCATATCCAGAGGATGTAAAGAACTCTTACAAACCAATAAGAAAAGAGACCACCTAGTAGAAAAGTGGGCAGAGGGAGCCAGCTCTGATGGCCTAGTTGTTAAAGTTCCCCGCTCTCCACTTCAGCAGCCCGGGTTCATTTCCCGGTTGCAGAATCACACCACCTGTCTCTCAGTAGCCATGCTGTGGAGGCGGCTCACATAGAAGAACTAGAAGGACTTGCAACTAGGATATACAACCATGCACTGGGGCTTAGGGGAGAAGAAAAAAAAAAGAAGATGATTGGCAACAGATGTCAGCTCAGGGCGAATCTTTCCCTGCCAAAAAAAAGTGGGCAGGGCCGGCCCCGTGGCTTAGTGGTTAAGTGCGCACGCTCTGCGACTGGTGGCCCGGGTTCGGATCCGGGTGCGCACCGACGCACCGCTTCTCCGGCCATGCTGAGGCCGCGTCCCACATACAGCAACTAGAAGGATGTGCAACTATGACATACAACTATC